AGAGCACGTCCACTGGCTACTTCTTGCTAGCCATCTACATGAGTTTGTAGCGGTTGTATATATCTTTCTTTCCAATAGTACCTTCCTCGTCTCGCGTTCGTCTTCCGCTCGCTGAAGCCGGAATCACTCAAATCTTGGTTGGAACAGGGGTGCGTTTTGTACACAATACCTCAAACAAATGCTGGGCTGTTCATCCGGACCACGCTAATGTGATCAGATGGTGTCGGCGGCGCTGATTGGCCTCCCAACTGCTGGCCATCTGCTTTGCTCTCTCGCTTGATCAGCCACCATCGCACCGCCCAATCAGTCAGTGCCGCGCGCAGGTAACTCGCTTGTCTTTGACCAGGACCAAAGTCATGATGGACTCACAACACTGCAAACCAATCCATCAATGCATCCGCTCCGTGTAATCGTGGTGAGCTTGCGCTGGCGACGCTGATAGGCTGGTGGCCGAGTGGTCTGCACGCCTGGCTTGCAACTATAAGGTTCACGGTTCGAATCCGCATTGGGGTGGGCATTCTCGCGGTATACACAACCCGCGCACGACTGGTGGTGATCGGGTGGCAGCGAAGCGACGTTACGGCGTACAGCTGACGCATTATGTTATTTTTTTTTAGCCCCGCGTCAGTATTGCTCGCGTAGATTGCTAGCTAAAAACACACTGGACAATCTAGGCGTTAACGCAGTTATGGAGCTGGATCAATTCTGTACTCTCGCTATTGCTTGCAAACGTCCATATTTACCGATGGCGAAATCACAAGTCAAGTAGACTGGGAAGCGGTATCAAGTCTAGAGCTCAATTCTCCACGGCTGATTGGATCATGTGTACAATCATCGATGAGTGGTCCACCAATGTCAAGCGCTGTTTGGTAAACGACCGGTTAATGTATTTATGATGATACACAACGTTTCGCATTTGACACAAATGCCTGATGAAGCATTTGTGTCAAATGCGAGACGTTGTGTATCATCATAAATACATTAACCGGTCGTTTACCAAGTTTTCTGAAATGATGACTTCCCGATCGGTTCCAAATATGTTCCAAGATATTGAGTCAAGCGCTGTTTGTTTTTCGTAACCTACTGTGCTATAGTACCGATGCAAGCAAAGGCATCTTCTAGCACAAAAATACCGTATATTATACGCGGTGGTCACAGGTCAAACATAAACCCAGTTGCCAGAGGTAGGGTGTATAAGGTAGCGGCGAAGTCGGTCTTATTGTATGAATGAGAGACTTGACCAGTTCGCGGAGAAGACATTAAACTGAGTTTGATCACCGTTAATTGCGGAGTATGGTTCATGTCTGGTAGGAACACCGGGTGAGCAATACTGAGGTCCACTAGTTGGTTTTTAGCAACGAGTCATCTGGTGCCTCACTAGAAGGTCTGCTGAAATTTGATCGCTTACGATGACTAGGCCAAGTTCTGCGTATGGACATTGACCGGCATCCTCGGCGTGCAGCATCCGCCGTGGCTGCACCAAGTTGGGAGAAACCGCGAGGTGGCCAGTCCATGATGTCGCATAGAGGTATGAAGAAATTGACTGAGAAACTATGTCAGGTTGGTGCGTGTCGTTTTCGTGAATGGGGGCCTGGGAATAGTCCACACCAATGGTTGGAGACCGTATCACACATGGAGTAGTCAGTGGAGTTATTACATTCGGTTTCTTGCATCTGGTTGTTAAGATTCTTTAATTCCGATTAGTTTAATGCATACTCCCCTTGGTTTCGTTTTCTTTTGATTCTATAAATATCCCACTCCACTATCTTGCTGCTGTTATTTAATATTCTTGAGATGTGTCGTGGCAATTGGATCCACCGCGCACCGGGGCACGGATCAACTGGACTGAGCTGAACTGTTGCCAAAGCTAGAAGTGTGCAAACAGGTAGTCTAAGCTCCCCAAGATTGCTACTGGACGGAGCGCCCGGCTCCCATTTCCAGCGCAGCGGTACTATCGCAGTGAATCGGAAGAATTCCTGCCAATCGATGATATGTCAAGAAGAATGAAGACCCTTATTTTGAAGTTGGCCTCAGTTGGAGCCTCTCAGCTCCTTGGTTTGGGACCGAAGAATTATGAACACGATTGACCAGATACATTTGTCATATGGCTAAAAGCCAACCTCAATGACGTTTGTGTTGTGAGTTTCTTTGTCACACACCTGCCTGTTTGACCTCCTTAAATCACAATCTGATTCATAAAGCATAATTTGACGCATTTTTGCGGCACAAGTGCCAGTTTTTGGCACTCCGTAACGGTGTCCACCCGTTACTGGCGACCCAGCCGGCGCTTATGTGTTTTTTCTTGTCTTATATATTGCGACACAATAGCTGCGGTGCTTTCCACCTCTAGCTAACGTGTATAAGGAATGAATGAATGAGAATTCCTGCCAATACCGAGCTTAGGGGCGGAGCTGTGCGCTATCGGGCGCGTCCCCAGATTGTGGAATGCCTTCCTTGCGGAGGTAAGTGCGAATAAGTCTCGTTTGCTTTGCACGCGAGATGAATAACCCGTGGCTGACAATCAGCGGCAGCGTCTCAGAGCTTGGCAAGTTCTGGGCTGGTCACCTGGTTCTCCATCTAATACCACAAGAACTCGTACGGCGCTTTTTCAAAGCCAATGGGACCGGCTATAGAGTCAGACCATTCACTTCCATAGCCAGAAGTGAGTACTTAACGGAAGGCAGCTGAACAATATTGCTGGCCACCGGTTTCTCTGTGGACCGTTACCGAACACTAAGGTGAAGGAGCCGACCGGCAGTCAACGGTCTTCGGCCTTGCGGGCGAAGTCTTTAAGACCAAAGCTTGGGATGAGTTCCCTTTATCTTTTCCTCCGCCTGGGCAACCGAGAAGCTCTGCGCCCAGACTAAACATAAAACCGATTAACCCTTCCTTTTGACTGCCTCTTTCCCCTATTTTGTTGTTGTTACTCATGTGCTGTGGTACGGCCAATTGTTTACTGATCAAGTGTTGAATGATATATGATACAGTGCGACTAGTCTGGCTATCATGTGAGAGTTTAAACAGCGAAAGAGCTGACAAAGAAGCTACGTAGATTTAGAGAGCTCAGAAAATGAATAATCTCCGTAGGTTCTTCCAATTAATCTGAGCTGCCCACTTCAAGGAAGTGCCCATCGGTGGGACAACCAAAGAGAGTATCGTTGTTGCGGTAAATTCCGATAAGATGCGCCGTCTAACTCATTGCGCGGAAGGGACAATTTCGGGAGCAGTTCAGTTGGTTTCCATATTGTATACCGATTTCCGCTCAGTTAGTGCGAAAAGAAACATCAAGTTAAAATGGGAGATCTATCTGAAGCTGAGGTTGGAAACGCTACCACAACTCTCAGCCGATTCTGATAAATTCAGTAATGATGAGGGCTGCAAGTGGAATGATTTCGTTCTCTTTTAGGTTCACCGGATAAAGTTAGCCTTAGCTGGGTGTGAAACTCCAGGTCTAACGGTTGAAAACTGACGTCTAGATCATGAGGCCACTGAATTCCGTGAGCAACAATTGACGAAGCTGTTAAAAATTCAAAATTGGGTTTGGAAGTACATTCTGTGTCAAGTGTTAATCACGGATTTCATCAGCCTAGTGGATAGAGCCTCGGCTTCCACACCCAGTTAAGGCTACCTCTAGCTAGTGAATGCGAGTGGGGGCGACACCGGTCGTGAAGTGTCAGTGTTAGGACGGCGCAACACCGAAAACTTGCCACTACGGATAAGATTCTAGAGGTCGGAATGATCGAGGTATTAATGGAGGCTGTGTGTCGTAATCGAACCACAAACGAGTACTCTAAACCCGACTATGAAAAGCATAGAAACTCTCGAGCAAGACGAGAAAGCGCAATTAATGCCTTCACTCCGTAGTAGTAGCTAGAGCAGCGTCACATGTGCCACAGGCACATATGGGGTTTGTTTCACGGTTGTAAGTGTGGGCGTCCGGCTAAATTGCTCGTTCTGCCTGGTTCCAGATATCTGCGCTGAAAGACGCACACATGAAATATGCGTACAAGTTAGTCAACTTGGACACGATTTCCTCAGGTCGCGTCAGGATCAATGATGAATCATCGGCTACCTTTCTGATAATGGGCGGCCCTTGTCATGGGTGCTCCAATCCTCATGAAGATTTTTGACATGATTTTATTGATAGTTCATGGCTGTAGGTTCCGAGTCAGATAGCCAAACGTGCATGCGGAAAAGTACAAGACGTCTGTTTCATCCTATTTAGTCGCATCAGTGGCGTTCATAAACGGCACCACCAGGGGAACTGAAACCCACGATCATACGGAAATATTGACTTGTGTGAGTAGCCAGCAGAATATGCCACTAGAAGAGACACAAGAGTTGATGGCATCGTGGACTACGTTATGGATTACCTCTTTGTGGAATCTCATAATACAATCATTGGGGTATTACTATGATGGAAAACCGGTTAATGCAAGTTTTTTTTTAGATGGCTTCGTATTGTGGCATGATAAATGCCATCCAGCACAACCAGTAACAAAGAGAAAAAGTACGAACAGATTGCGCGCAAACTTTCTGAAAGTGTGGCTTCTCCATAAGCTCCTAAGGTATTCCAAAGTATTGAATACAATAGTCTGTTCCTGGGTGTCGAAGAGCAACCATAGAGTGTGCCTGCGGTTTGAGTTTCATATGACGCCTCAGACGATGTCGTTTTATCGAACCAACCCTAGCCAAATCAACCACACGACATTCGTATCTCGGAATCTGATACACCCCCAAGTGGATCACAGGCATGCATGACCGACTAGGCATTCAAAATACATTCTAGTAGGAGTCTTGAATCTGGCCCACAGTTTTAGTACAACAGTAGGCTGCTCTACCCATAGGCCGTAGTCATCGGATTTCGATTTGCTCAAATCTGCGAGGAGATCGCTGATCTACTGCAGTGCTCGAACAGAGTGGTCTGTCGGCTAGAAACCACTGACTACGGTCAGGATCCGTAAATGAGATAAAGAGAGTGAGTAAAGGACGTGACTGATCACCACCATGCATTGTTATGAAGTCTCGGAGACATTAATGTCAGTACACAAGTTAAGAAGAGCCACGAACGAAGTTATACTATTGTAGTAAAAGTTGGCGAGTACAATAACAAGGTGCTGTTTAGTGTGAAAAAAGAGAATTCAATAGATGAAAGACATGTTGGTTGGTAAAAAACACAGACATACTCGTGAGTCATCGAAAGAAGATAAAATAGTAGTGAGCGGTCAAGATAAACAGGGATGGGCAGCAGATCTAAAAGTGGCGCACGTCATCATTATTTGAGTGAAGTGTAAGAAAGACTGAAAGAAACACAAGCCACGGTTGATGATAAAATTGGGGTAAAAAGTGGTGGGAGTAAAGGTCAAAATACTGAGAAAGGCTTCAGAAGTGATTGAAAAACAACGCTTTAGCTGAATCCGAAGGGGAGGTGGGTGAATCACTGCGAATGGGTGTGGAAACATTAGGCCGCTGCAAGGGAGCGCGATTAGTTTCCGTCTCCAGGATTGTTACCGTCGTCTGTTGCGGTGATTGGCGCGTCGAAAAGTCAGTTTGAGGAAGTGCGGGCAACGACGGGATGTTTTCTGGTGACGAAGATACAACGCATTCGGACTTGCGAGAATCCAACAGCCTGGGGAGTGAGTCAGCCAACGCTTGGCTAGTGACGGTGGCCGCAAAATCGTTTCTCGCACCGAACACCGCTTGCCCGGCAGCATGACCGAGAAACCTGCTGAACCTGTTAATGGTGTGTGGGCGAAAAGTTATAAAACAGAGATAGCGAACAGTCAAGCAAAATAATCCTATTTCCAAAACGACAAGTATGGGTAGCGACAAATGTCGTGCAAAGTGCTTTTAGCCACTCTGTATCACTATCATAATGTACCGCAAAGTCGACACTAAAGCCAGTAAGGGCCAAAACCAGTTCATAGTTAGAAGCACTGTGCCAGGTCAACGGATGGTTGTGTATACCTAGAACTTTCAGAAAAACGGACACGCCGTAGACGATTTGGTCAGAAGTTGTAGAACCATGAATGGTGTCCAATGGAAACTTCTGTGCTTTCCAGTAGATGGATATCGCAAGAGTGTAACGCGCATTAAGGAAGATTCGATTGCTTCTGAAAAGCTTATAGATAAAGTCATCAGCTTATGGATGGAAGTGTGAGGGGCTGTTGTCCAATATGATATTAAAAATATGAGAAAATTTGATGAGACTGAAGGGGAGGTACAAAAAGGAAAACAAGAAATTGGAGCTTAGCTAGCAGAAATACGTCTGAATCATCAGGCTGGACGTGAGCTAGTGTGCTAAGCTCTGGGTGAATGTAGGTTCCGAGCATCATGCAACAGAAGATAAACCAACTGTGCATGGTTACCACATCTAAATACCGTGGACATTCCAAAATCGTTTACTCCGATCTCCTGATAGTTTTACATTCGTTAATAAAGTTAGATTAATTAATCTACCACTACTGCAGAAAAGAGAAGGGGTCAAAAATACCGAGTTTGTTCGCTTCCACGCACGCCCAGTGTGCTGGCCCCGTAAAATTCCCACGAAATCACGCAAGTGAATAGTTGTCATACACTGGGTGATGGATGACTGCGTCTCTTCCTCCAACGGTCGGAGCAGAACAAATAGGGGTCGCAGACAAGCGACCACCAGAGCATCCATACGGCTGGTGCGTCGAATGCAGATGAAGATAAGGGTTTGATTGAACACGGTTTACTAGTCTGGGTGAAGCTGGCAGTCACTGAAAGCTCTGAGGGTTATGTTCAGGAAGAAAGCCAAGTTCGAACATTAGGAATAGGTTTTCGATATCGTCGTCCAACCGAGTCAAATATTCGGAGTCAGTCGCCCAGACAAACGCATGTCAGTCATGTGACTAGTTCTTATAAGCGTAACACACTTATCAAGGTCGCTGTGCAATAGTGTGCAGCCTCCCGCTCGTTTGCTTGTCTCCATACAAAACGCTTTGGACGTAGTTTGGTCGCGTTTCCATAGCACCTCTTTAGACAAACTTGAGCCTAGAAATTTCGGAGTAGAGACTACATTGAAAGTATTGCGAAATGTAGCACGGTTGTGATCCACCTGATTGCAACTGGTAATCTACTCCAAGCGAAAGCGTAGATGTGCGAGAATAAACTAGTGTGCATGCTGGTAGGAGCCTTCGGCTGAATAGGTAAACACGGTCTGGTCGTAATGGGTAACGCTCGTCTTCATTCTGTCAATGGACTCAGTATTCATAGTCTGAAATAGAAATGAAAAGTTGTGTTTGTGAAGTCACAATGGATTCAGCTACAGTTGTTTTAATCAACGACTATGTTTAAGAGCAGATGATTTTAGTAAGCGCTTGGCAGAGGAAGGCTGTGTTCTCTTCACCGATATTCTACTGGCTAGCATATTTCGCGCATCTGCCTTTCTTATATAGTGCCATTGTGAGCGGTTCACTCCAGATAGCCGAGATAGTATATTTCCTGCGTACCTGCTGGAACAGGTTGGTCAATGTTTTGTAGAGAACCTCGCCTCCAGGCTTAAATAATCAAAAGTCAATATAAGCTTACTGAACCCAGATGAGCTCATCTTCAGCACTTACGGTGCCGCTGCGGATAGAAGGGAATCCGGATCAGCAGCCTGAAAACGATTGAGGGTTGTGTCCACGTTTAAGATCTCGGCCACTGATGGAGCCTCTAAACCAATCAGCCATAACTCAGGCTGATTCACCTGAGCAGAAAGAGGTCCAGGAGCTGGAGGTCAACCGAACTGCTCTCGAAAGTGCTCCGTCCAAAAGCAAAACAGCGTTCTTTATTGTCAGTTGGTGTACCGGTGATGTTTTTGATTGCTTCGTCGACGCACAAGTTCATGGGACCAGTCGTGCGGATCGGCATATCGATGCACTGAATTGAAGGTTCTTTTGTTGTCGAGGAAGGTGACAACGACGGATCCCTAATATACGTGTCGGCGGCCCAACAATAGATATGAAGTGAGGTGTAGTCACTGCGGAATCTATTTCGACGAAACCCTACTTGTTATTCGTGAAACTGCCTGTCGTGGATGCCAATCAATCTATGAATAACGAAAGAGACAAGCAACTTAGCAGTGATTGAGACCACGCTGATTCCCAGATGGCAGCTGAATTCCAAACGAGAGCCTTCACTGAAAATCAGAAAATGATGGAGCAGCCCCAGCCTCCTCGTCCCATAGCTTCACTAATAAATCACGCAAGCCATCTACAAGTGCTAATATCTCAAAGATGATAGTAGCTGGAGAAATTGCATCTGAGTCTAATTCAGTTTCGACAGTTCGATATCAGAAGCGGACAGACCAGAGTACAGGGTGACAAGGAACCTGGGAATTCTGGCCGATACAACAACTTTTCAAAATGCTCAGCCGAACGTTTCAAGCGTTTTGACAATTTATGGATAAGCTGTCTCCTCTAGTCGTACATAGTTGCGCAAGAACCAGATCTGCTTCTGCCCGTTTACCGTAGTAAATAGAATAATGGGATGATTACCAAGTGTAGCGGCCTTCTCCATCTCCGATGCACGAAAATAGCAAGCTTCGTGGTTCCTTTGCAAGTCTTGACGTCTTTGTGAGTAAGTTGTATTCGCTTGCAACCGGAATGTGCCGATGAGAGTCAAACCATTTCGGAGTGCGTAGAGACCTATGGAAGTGGCCGGACACATAAATATACAATGCTACAAAAGTTCGGCGAACGTGCGAACAGTAATCCTCCCCTTCGACGCATCTGAATACTGAATACTGTATTATAGAGCAAGTAGAAATGGATTCTGTACAACTCTTTCGAAATATTGTGAAAAACATTATAATAGTCGTCAACTGCGAATATCCTTGTCGTTCTCATGTAATATTTAAAATATTCGACTTACGATATTTCAGGATTCACAAATGTGATATGTCATCGTAAGTATGCAGTCGTTCTCTGAATCGAATAGAGGCAAAATGCAAATCTAACAACGTTTTGAACTGTTGCACAGATGTTGCCTCAATCACATGTTCGGGCAAACTATTCCAAATGTTTACCACTCTCCTTTCGAAGCACAGTGGGTGGGGAACACGTTTCATATCCGGCACAACAAGTTTGTATCTGTGTCCGCGTGTGCTGCATGGCCCTCGTAAGTGCAGCATTGGCCTTAACATGGGGAACTCACCGAGATGTAGAATATGGTAGGTCATAATGAGGTCGACTCGCACCCGGCGGTAGGACAAGGTGTCGAGTCCTAGTTTCTCGCACCGGTCTTCATACCCAAAGCCACGTAAATTCGGGATCAGCCTGGTAGCAACGTGTTGGACCCGTTCGATCTTTTGTGCCTCGCCACGGGTAATCGGAAAGTAGGCGGGCGAACCGTACTCTAGCATTGGTCTAATGATAGAAGAGAAGAGGCGAGTGGCAACCTCTTCAGACCATGTGTCGAAGCTACGTTTGAGCGCCCAAAGCATGCGCAGTCTGTTCCGATATAGCCTGTTCGTGTTGTCCACGGACTTCAAATCGTAGCGTGAGAGTACACCTAGGTCCTTCACGGAGGGTGTGGGATATAGCGTTTGGCCGTCAAGGATGTAGGTTCGGCCGTCTACACCCTTCCCCAGGCTCATAAATACCGACTTGGCTGGGTTGACCGGGAGAAGAACTTCTGCAGACCACGTGGATAAGCGGTTGAGATCTTGCTGAAGTAGGCCACAGTCATCGGGAGCGTCGATTTCTCCCCAAATCTTCATGTCGTCCGCAAACAAGGCACACGGCGACCGGAGACGCTGCGGTAGATCGTTGATGTGGATCAGGAACAAAGTGGGCCCCAGCACAGTGCCTTGAGGCCCGCCACTTGTAGAGGGGTACCAGTCAGTTAGATGGTCGTCGACCTGTACCCTCCACTTTCGTCCAACAAGAAAGTCGCGGATCCACCGGTGCAGTGAGCCACCGACGCCACACATGCTGAGTTTGTGAAGGAGAACCTCATGACTGACCTTGTCGAACGCTTTACTGAAATCGATGAATATCAGGTCGACGGACTTCCCCTTGTTTATTACCTTCAACCACTCACGCATCGTCACAAGCAGGTTCGTAATGCATGAGCGACCTTGCATAAAACCGTGCTGTGATGGAGTCAGGACCTCGTTTGACTGTAGCAACTGCAGCAATCCCTTCTTCACGATTTTCTCAGCAACCTTTGCCAATATAGGTGTCAGACATTGGCCTGTAATTGTCTACTTTGCTAGGGTCGCCGCCTTTCGGAATAGGCTTCACCACCGCATATTTCCAGTCAACCGGCAACAAACCTTCGGACAGCGACCTGTTGAAAAAGTAAGTCACGACAGGAGAGAAGACGGTTGAAAGTGACTTGAGAACCAGTGGGTGAAGCCCATCAGGTCCGGCAGGTTTGGTGCCGTCAAGGTTGGCGAGTAATTGAGCTACCTCTTCAACGCCGCAATGCTGACTATCGAGTTCGGTAAAAGCGGTACACGTCGAACTCGGAACAGACACCTGGTTATTTGCAAATACAGAAGCGAAGTGCGCCGCCAGCGCGGACGCACGCTCAGTGCTGGAGGTTAGGGGCTGTCCATCCGTGCCATCCAGCACTGGCACATCACCCGCCGGCTTCAGGCGTCGCTTCACGTATGCAAAGATTCTCTTTGGGGCGGTCTTCGCGGCTAATGCGAGCTGCTCTTCAAAGTGTCGGCGTTTATTCTTTTTTGCACTGTTGCAGAGGTTCCGCTGACATTTATACCCTTCGTAATCATTGGCAGAGCCAGAGAGAAGGAATCTGTCCCACAGTCTGCGCCGCCTCCGAGCCAGTTTTCCATACTCCTTATCAAACCAATGAGGCTTGATCCGTCCAACCTTTCGACATTTCAAGGGCACAAATTGGTAACACAATGATGTCAATCTCCCTTTTACAAATATCCAACAATCTTCCACAGATGCAGCTTGTGACAGAGACCCATCCAGTTGGCTCGCGGCTCGAGCAAGACCATCGAAGTCGGTTTTCCAGTAGTTGGGAGCTGGTTGCAGCGGATGTGAATACGGCAAAGATAATTCCATATCAGCTATCAGTACTGAGTGGTCGCTCGTAGCCAGGGGCTCCAGAATCCTAACGTCACGCACTCGTTGTTCGTAGCTCGTTAACATCAGGTCGAGACAGGACGACGTTGAACGGGTTGATATGCGTGTTGGCTGGCATATGTGTTGCGATGCATCAGTTTCAAATACCAAATCCACAAACTTTGCTTCAACCTCACTATGTCCAGGCATCAAATGCACATCAGGCCATCGTATTCGATGGACAAATGTAGCGTACAGTTTTAACAACAGCCAGCACCGAACATGATTCCGCTTGATAGTAAACGTGATGCATTGAGATGCAACCCAGTGGTCAAGACAGGACTAGCCCATGTAATTGTGTCATAACATACCACTCAAAATGCGCCAGTGTAAGTAGATTAAAAGCAAACGAGCACGGCAGTGTGTGAAGCGCACTGGCTTTGTTCGATATGCACGGCCAGTGAAAATGTAAACGGTACATTTGTGCTGGTTTGAAAAACTGACCGAAAAACTGAGTAGATGTCCGGTTTCAGAGCTGCACTAACAGAGTGTGTGTGATGTTGACTACATCATGTGCCAGCATTACGGGATCGAATGAATGCCTGCATATAAGTACGGGCCACGAGATCCAGTGGCAATCGTTTCGGCCGTTGCCAGGAGAGGATATCTAACTGCTCATGTGTGGCATCTGGGCACACAGTAAATCGGAAGGAAAACCTCGTGCGCTTGAACATGGTGGTTCGAATCAACCGGATGTTCAGATACTGGTCATTTGGTTTTGCAGTTAAGCAGGACAATGCTCCCTGATTGTCTTGGACAGTCTCCTGGTGGTTCTTCCGACATATTTTGATCGATGTGGGCAAGAGAAGCGGTACGCACAGAAAGAAAGATCTGAATTTAAAATTCTGTCAGTAAGTTGCCGTTTAAGAATTGGTAATGGGTTGAATCAGGTTTGCCCAATAGCCTCAGATAGCTTTCTAGATGAGGATTCCATTATTCCGTCTCCGTTGAACGGTAGCGACAAATAGAACAGCTTCTTTCCCGGTTTTCGTTTGTTCTCCGAGCTAAGTAACTGTGTTGCAGACGTTTCGTCACCAGCTCAGGTGACATCCTCAGTGCTTCACTGCTTAGCGTGCCGCTTTTGAGTACGTCGTCGGCTATTGGTCGATGGGCCTCTTCGATTCATATCACGTACCGGTGGTTTGTTGTTCGGCCGCCGTTGCTTCGTGCCTTAGGTTAAGATTTTTACCTGTCTAATTGCTTTTTTTCTCAATGGTTGGTGCACCGGGTCTGAGTTTAAGTACAGGTTTGTGGAGTGCTCTGTAGTAAACCACACTTCAAAGAATTCCCTGCTTGCTCTCGTTTCTCCCCGCGCGAGAATTTTGGTTTTGACCCAATCAAACTTGTGCCCCACCCCATCAACATGTACCGAGACCAGATAGGATGTGTAGTGGTTACGACAAGCTCGCTGGTGCTCTTATATTCTTGTAACCAATTTCCTCCCTGTTTGGCCCACATAGTTCTTCTTGCAGTGTTTACATTGTATACTGTAAACAACATTGCTGCGTTCGTGTGCCTTCAAAATATCTTTCGGTTTAGACAAGGTCCCCTTAAGTGTGGTGGTTGGTATGTGGGCAACCATCAGATGATACAGCTTGAAAAATCTGGTAGTCATTGCTGCTATGTTCTTGACACAAGGCAAAGCGATCCGTTGCTTCTTTCCTATTGAAGCCAATTTTATCTTAATTTCTCGAGGCTCCATATTTTTCCGAACGAACTGCAATGGATAGCCATGTCTCTCGAATATTCATCATATGAATTATAACGCATCCGGGAATATCCTTGTTGCAAATCTTCGTTGCTCGCTCGAGTAGGCATCGAACAAGTTGTCGTTTCCATTTAGGTGGAAGGAAGCTGGTGAAATGAGTATATTGCCCGCCCCATGTTACCTTTCCATGGACACTGCATTGGACCGATTTGTCAAATCTTCAGATTATCTGGACGTCTAAGAACAATATAGTCTTCTTGCAATCAGATCCATGGGTGTCAATATAAGTTACTAGTTATGAAGCGGAGATCGACCATTTGCTGTGTCAACAGGTGTACCGCTATAGACATAGTTCCTCTCATCAAGAGAAATATAAGTATTATTATTATTAGTAATAGTATTATTAAGACCGAGAAGTGCGAACACTAAAATGCGCACGGTTTAAAGCCTGTTTGGAAGAGCAAATTTCCAGCTACCCCCTGTACAACCACGACAACACACTCACTAAATTTTGAACGGCGAACAGGTCGTCGATAATTGATCGTGTGCTCGCCAGTGAAGAATTCATAGTCGATGGAACAGTTACAAGTACCCGCACAACACGAGTGACCGGAAAAAGTCCGCTGGACTGGCCGTTTTTATGCCCCTAGCCATCCGAGTGGAACACAGTTTGGACTTTTAAAGCCCTTGCCTTTTATCCATGAAAAACCACAGCATCGAAGACGCTCTCGACTGGAATGCCAACGTATTTTAATACGAGTTCAAAACATCTCGCTTCGTCAGCTGTCGATGCGGGCATCCACTTAAACGCATCCGAAGAACGGCACAGACAAGTGCGTGGTCGTAGTCCACGCTTGCGTACCAATTCCATCGGCAGTTTTGAACGCAGCCTCCATGGATAGCCTGAGGCTGATGGGTGCCATGCAACTTACCAGTAAGTGTTGTGTCGGAAGTTAGCGCTCGCCAGAAACAGACGGCCGTCTGCACATAATGTTATCATTACGGCAATCAACGTCATGTTTGTCGCCCATTTGTGACTGTGGGCAGCTTCAGTCCTAATGCTCAGAGCAACATCCACAACAAAATAGACCTGTATTTAAGGTGTCGTTATCTCAGGACAGATGCAATGAGAAATGGACATCAATATCACGTAAAGGTGATCGCGGACTGGATACAGAGACTGAGTCTTGTAGACGGGTTTTCGATAAGCAACAGATATCGGTTGACAGCGTCTCTAATGTTCCAGCAAGTGTTGTTTATTGTCCGGTCTGCAACAAACTTCGCACAATAAGGCATGACAGTCTCAACGAGCATCGAAAACGCTAAATGGAAGTGTGGTTGAACATGGGCTTGACAACAGGATCGGAGAGACGTTATGCGATTGTGTGTGAGTCAAACGTAGAAGACATCGTTAATAGAAGCAACATGAGGGATGGAAAAGAAGTTGGGGTTGAAAATACCATAGATGAAAGTGTAGTTGGAAGGGGACAATAAGGAGAAACGTAAAACATGGAATAAGAGGACGATATTAGCATAGTTATTTTTACGAACCACGTACGGTGTATCAAATAGAGCACCCCATGTTACTCTGCGACGACCGGAGCACCGAGAAGTTGTTACATGAGATTTATATTGTACTACGTTGGCAGGATAAGTTCAGGTTGTTGAGAATTAAAAGGAACGGTTAGGGAACTTAGCCAAACCAATAGTTTAAAAATTTGACAGTAAAGCAGCGAAAGTTTCGTGGCGAACTACAGTATGTCTGTTTTAGGAAACAAGAAGTCACCCTCATTCCAACCCTAACATGGAGGACCAAGGGATCGAGATTGTCTGGCCCCTACCAAATGACCCAACTAATACGAGTGGCTTTGAAAGTACGAGAAGCATCATCTTAGGGTCCATTCTCACTGGCGATGAAATCAGACAGCTGGCCTCCTTTTCCTCCTCGTCCTCTTCGTCATAAACATTAAAGATAGCACGTGAGTATTGTATACAGCTGATACTATACCTAATTATTGGTGTGACAGAATCCAAGTTCCTCCCAAATCAGGGTGTCAACAGGCCCCGACCATACTCAACCTTTCGATGAGGTGTTCCAGTTTCTTATGTAATGACATTGACTGAATACCTTGGTATTTCATCCAACATAGTGCAGCAATGATAAAGGAAACCCACCGAAGCATGCGGTTATAGGATGTGCACAGGCCGCTGGAGTACAACGCAAGCTCCAGTGACACACCATAGGATCATGTATGAATAGCAGAACTATTGAGGAAATTTTACTGGTCCGTCCTAGCAACTCACAAGCAAGATAGTCTAATTCTCAATCCGAAGAAGCGCAAGATGACTATTTCTTCCAAATGGGTCTCGTCATTAGTGACCGTTCTATTTTGCAACCTAAGTGGGATAAAATGTGACCTATCCTCTAATGCCATGCAGCTTAGTACCATTGCAGAAGGCAGTGGCTGGTCTCCAGAGGTCACGACCTCCACTATACAGCGGCTGTGAAGGTATGGCATTTTTGATGAATTTGTACTGCTTCGTCTCAGAATCAGTTGCTAAACACGAGACGATGAATGTTCGTATTATTGATTTTGTTTGAAGAACGACCACAGGATGAAAAGTGTGTACGAGAGACAAACAGACAAAAACGTGCAAAACGGAGACATACATGCGCCGCAGTTCGGATGGTTGAACGGCGTCCACAGTTGATCTGTTGGTCGTCCGAGCTGGGCTGTAGAACTCTACTTGTTGCACTTCCGACGGCAAACCAGGAGTGAATACGGGCTCCATTTCGGTGAACAAACCCTGGAGACCCGAAGCGACATCATCCGCAACCGACTGTATACCGGACAATAATTGTCTAGCAAAGCCGGAGGATTTGCCTCGAAGTCGCCCATTCGGTGAGCCCGGAGATCCAAAACCACCAGAGTCGGCTAGCTGTAAGCGCAACTCCTCGAAGGAACGCAGTGCATCTTGCAACTCCAAAAGGCTTTCTTTATAATAATTTCGTTCAGCAATAACTCGGGCCATCTCTCGTTTCGTGAAAAAGGGTTCACCCAGTTTTGCGTGCTGCATGGATTGAAGAAGGTGGATCAAAATTATAGTGTCAGGAATACGAATAATGACACAACAAAAACAAAGCTGTTCTGCAGTGATTGGTCGCAATAATGCGCGCATTCGAAGTACTCCAACGTCCTCAAAATATGTTGTACAGCCATGTTACTTAATGAAAGTTCATCGGTAATGAGTGCCTCTCATGAATCGTAACAGAGTCGAGCGTACGGTCATCATCTTATTAGTAAGCGACTTAATCCATTGAACATTAGTTAGAGACGGTAAATGGTCATAGATACGGTCTCACAGTGTAGATAAGGATAAAAGCGATGAATAGTAAGTATAATGGAACCTTTAAAAGGTGCGGCTCAGTTTATAAGACAACGTATCGGAGACTTGGTTCTCGCAAGTTTACCCTTAAAAAATTCCTGATTATACAAAAGTCGCGATGTGGTGCGACGGTTTGCGTACATCTTCGACCCCATAAGCTACATAGCGTGATGTTCTAGACTCAATGAAAGACACTCATATCATATTGTCAAATGGCTAGAGATCGGACAAACACAGTCTTCTGGCTCATCACACGTTAAGGCTTGAAAATGGGATGGCGTCCATTTCAGTAAGATCGGATCGTTGCTATCTCCCCACTGCCTAGCCGTCAGGCTTATAAGCCACGAACTTTAGGAGATGACTGTTATCGACCTTTTTATCTAGGTTTAGGCGCTGTGGCAGTATGCAAGCCTAAGTACAACGACGTTTATATATATATATATATATATATATATATATATATATATATATATATATATATATATATATATATATATATATATTGTAGACTCGTCCATTGGAGAGCGAGAATGAGGTCACGACGTAGCCACAAGTGACCAAAGTTGGCGAAAGCAACTATAGCCTTGGAAACACGCAGGGAGATCTCATCCGTCGAAACCGCCAATGGTAGGACAACTCGAAAGCTAAATGAATTTGTCGACCACTTAAAGAGGATGCCCCGAATGGGTGAGAGAAGGAGATGCATTTGGCCAGCCGTAACAAGACCTTACATTTGGAAACAGCAAAGGTCAACCTAAATTTGGAGGCGGACATCTCCAGTCTAAACAGCACCTGCTGGGCGACCTGGGAGGGCCCACAAATCACATAGATGTCATCTACCAAAGACGAACACCAGGGAGCAGTTCAACGCCGCAAGACTCAGAGTTTTCCAGAGCAGTATCCAGGACCTCGTCCATGGAAAATTTGAACAATAATAAACAGGCTAGGCAACAATGTCTAACACCGCTAGTGATACTGAAAGGGAGCGAAAAGTTTCCGTATACACGCACGTGGCCCGAAGTTTGATGGTAAATGGCACGGATAATGCTGATGTACTTCTCAGGAACTACCCCTCCAGTAAGCAGTCCCAAAGAGCCACCCTGTGAACAGAGTCAAATGCGGCTCGAATGTCCAAGAATATGACTATGGTTGGTCGACTGAACGTACGGCGATGTTCAAGTATCTAGAGGATCACAAAGATGTGATGCGACCGGGGCGAAATCGAGCTTACTGTTCACGTAGGTGCTGTACTCGTATGCAACTGAGCTTCCGCGAGAGTAGGGCAGGTAGCGGTTTGGATGCGACACAAATGAGACTGCTGCCACGAAGGTTAGAGCAGACGGTCCGGCCTCCTTTTTGCAGACAGGTACAACATTCGCCCATTTCCAGTCGGATGGGATGATTTCAGTAGTCCGAATCTGATGAAAGAGGGATGTCACTTCACGGGTGAGAAAAGGACCTTCATATTTGAAGAGGACGGAAGGAAGTTCATCTGGGCCAGGTGACTTGTGGCGTTTTCGTAGGCAGATATCATAAGAAAGCTCAGTCTTATTGGGTGGAGAAATATCCACACACCAGGGAGCACTGTGAATCCAGGAAAACGGAATTAGTTGTGCTGATGGCCAGTTGAAGTTTTTCAAAGTGCTCTGACCATTGTGCCAGAGGACGGTGAATTAGTTCGTCGTCATTTTCATGCAATACCTCACTCATTGTTGGCTTTCTGCCTCCCGTGGAACGAATAAGCTGGAAGAGTTTGCGGGACTTTCCTGAAGAGACTGCTCGTTGCATCTCAACGACAAATTGTGTCCACCTGTCTTCACAATCCTCCCTGTGAGGCTATATGAGCTCAGCATCTGTGGTTTTGCGTAGTGCGTTGTACTCAACTCCGGCGGGAATTGTTCGACGGTTTTCCATTAATTGGAAAGACTGTGTGGAAATCCAATGATTGCAGCCAGTCTAGTGAAGCCACAGACCGAGATAGCGGACCTCCGTAAGGCGCTCTGAATCTGTGCCCAGTGTGTCTCAACATAGGAGGATAGCAAACGCAGATAACAGACTAATGTGGTCTGAAATGTACCCGAGAACATTTGGTGCGGTGACCCTATCGATGTTAAGAAGTTGCCGGTGACGCTGTTGGGTGCCTCCACAGCGCAAAAAGACTTTAACACAGACGGGCACATGATCCGAAGTCAAGTAAGTGTTCCAAATTTACTTGCAATCCGCTATGCAGTCATGCCAACAGCAACTATCAGCGGTTAAGTCAATTTGCGTTTAAGGTTAACCAGGCGCCGAAGGTCACCAGGTGGCTCACTGGCGCCAGGAACGCCAGAAATTGGTGCTCGAAAGGAACAAGCCGTGGTTGGCGCACAGTTAAAGGAGTCGATCACCGTTGTCCGTCCTGCGAGTACCGTGGCTGTGTTGACCCCCAAGTTCACGCTCATGAACCTCTAGTCTACCGACCTGCGCATTTAGGTCTCCGGCGAGTACCACGATGTCCGTGCGGCGTTTCTTTAGGATGAGGTCGGTGAGTTGGCGGTAGAACGCGTTTCCAGCTTTATCGAGGCTGCACTCCGTAGGAGCGTACGCCGCCATAATGCATAAGCAGCGCCTACTGGTTCTGTGGCTGTAAGATCGCACTGAGCTTTCCAAGCGGACTGCACAAAGACGGCTATTGATCGGGAACCAATCAAAGAGCGCTGCCTCAATACACGAGCTTAACACAACTCCTACGCCGGCGCAACCAGAGGCTGCCGCTGCAACATTTCCAGATAAGAGCGTAAATGTGCAATCGGAAATCGAGGATGGTGAGAACAATCGCAGCGTTGTGCTGGAGTACTGTAAACGGGTTTCGGTTAGACAGCAAAAGTCGATGAAGAGGATATCCAAGGTGCGTGCAAGTGTAGATTGTGATCCAACCTGCATATGTGTTCGAACATTGAACGTAGCCACCTTGAGCACGCGGGGTGCAATAAAATCCTTGCTGTTGGAGACCGAATTAAAAAGCAAGTGCGAAGTTCCTGTACCACTCTAGGGAATTATGAAAAAGCAAGAATATTTAACTACGGATTGTCAGCGATGGTGGTTAGTCAGCCAATCGCTTATACTTGTTCAATTAGGAATTCGTATTTGTGTCATTATTTCCGGGTATAGGATATATTTTTCTGCATTGTATGTGTACTGTTCCACAGAGGCACAGGTTTCCAAAATAATCGGCGATATGTGTTTTGGAACATTTCGCAGAATCGGCATCTATTAGTCCTTCTGATAGTGTATTCCATAAGTTTGCGATTCTTCGTTCTATACAAAGCTGATGTGATACCCTGTTCATGTTTGGGATCCTGAGTTTGTAACGGTGTCCTAAATGTCACAGGATTCCCGCAGATGAACTATTAGCCGCAGTATGGGGAAGTGATTCGAGTGTAGTATTCGATGGGTCATAATAAGGTCAATTCGTACTCGGCGGTAGGATAGTGTGTAGAGTCCGAGGCTCATACAGTTTTTCATATGGAAACTTTCGTAGAGTAAAAACCCTCTAGTTGGGATGCGCTGTATTTTCGCCAGCTTTTCCGTTTCCCACTGGATTATCAGATGGTAAGCTGGGACGCCGTATTCGAAGACTGGGCTGCTGAGCGAGGTGAATGAGCGGGGGACGGTTTCTTCAGACCAGGTGGAGAAAATGCGTCGTAATGCAGAGAACATGAGAAGTCCTACACCGTACAATTTCTCTGTATTTCCCAGTGATCTCATACCATGTTGCGAGAGCACTTCCAAGTCTCTGACAAATGTGTTGGGGTGGAACAAATGGCCATCTAAGGTGTATGATTGTGTAGCTGCACATCTGGTGATACTAATGAACCCGACTTGCTGCTTTTCAGTGGACTATGTTGACAGTCGATCTAAGTCACGCAGAAGGCGAGTGCAAGTGTCCTGGTTCTCAATGATGCTCCAGATTTTCAAATCATCTGCAAACAGCGCACATAGTGACCGGAGCTGCTGCGGGAGATCGTTTATATGAATAAAAAGAATAGTACCAGCCCAAGTACAGCTCCTTGAGGCACGCCACTGGTCAATGGGAACCAGTGTCTTAGGTAGTCATGGACCTGCACCCGAAACTTCCGTCCCACAATAAACCCGTGTAACAACTGAAGTAGCGAGCCACCGATTCCGTAGGTCCTCAGTTTACGAAGGAGTACGTAGTGGTTCACTATGCTAAACACCTTACTAAAGTCAATGTACACTACGTTAACATGCTTCCGTTCGTTGAGAGCTCGTATACAATGGTGGTTTCCGTATATCAATTTAGTGACGCAGAATCGCCCTTTCGTGAAGCCGTGTTGCGCTGGCGTCAATAAGTCCATCAATTCGAAGAACGACAGCTGACATATTTTCACAACTTTCTCGAGAACTTTGGACAATATCGAAACAAATCGGTCTATAGTTTTCTACTTTACTCGAATCGCCACTCTTGTGAAGCGGTTTCACTATTTCCAATCGTTGGGGACAGATCCTTCAGAGAGTGATTTATTGAATAGGTTTGTCACCGCTGGTGAGATTACCTTGGATAGGGACTTAAGTATTAGCAGGTGAGGTCCGTCTGGCCCGGAAGGTTTTACAACATCGACGTTGACGAGTAGTTGATACACTTCATCTGCATCAAATTGTAGGCTATCGAGCAAGACTGGTGC